CCAAAGCAAGGCAAAATCAAGAGTTAAATTTGTATAGTTGTTGACTCCTTTAAAGAGAAGTAAATGTACCATCAGGTGTTTTGAAACGAGTAAGCTGGTCTGCTGGATGCTCAACACCCTTAATTGTCAAAATCGTGAGATAAAATCAGATCAGATACCATATAGCGACCATAAAATTTCCGAAAATGAAGTTTGATATTTCCTTGAATGCAAAATATACCTTTGAAATTATAAATTGGCAAATATGTGATAAATAAATGAAAAGGCAATGATTATTCATTATATGTAAGTGTAAACTCCTACTTCAAAATGCTGAAGGTCCAGGATTTAATCCCGGCATAGGCTGAGATCAACCCGGTTTCCCCCTGTCAGTGATGCAGGTAAGAGGGGCTGACATGGAAAAAGCGTCTAGTCATTCAGATGGGACAATAAACTGAGGCTCTGTGCTCTATAGGCTGTGCACATAAAGATCCCTTGACAGTTGGAAATCAAAAAAGAGCAGGCTAATGCCACCAAAATATCTCTCATTGCACCCTTCATGTCATCTTCATTAGCCCACATGGTGCAGAAAAGTAGGACGTAAAACTCTATTCATTTCATTTCATTTCAAAATAATGAAATAATTGTTATTGTAGCTACAAAGGGGAATTGTTTAAAAGAAGAATGGATAGCCTATGTTTGTAGAGAGATATTGAGGGTATGTGTAATTTCTTACTATTTTTTGTTTAATACAAAACTGGCTATTTCTCTAGAATTATTTGATTGACTAAGATATAAGATAAATATAACAAGATATTAAATTATGTTAATTTATAGGGTTTGGCTCATCTCCATGGTAATCGTGTTATACATCGTGATATTAAGATATAAAGTTCTATTAATTTATAGGGTTTGGCTCATCTCCATGGTAATCGTGTTATACATCGTGATATTAAGATATAAAAATCTATTATTTTATAGGGTTTGGTTCATCTCCATGGTAATCGTGTTATACATCGTGATATTAAGATATAAAGTTCTATTATTTTATAGGGTTTGGCTCATCTCCATGGTAATCGTGTTATACATCGTGATATTAAGATATAAAGTTCTATTATTTTATAGGGTTTGGCTCATCTCCATGGTAATCGTGTTATACATCGTGATATTAAGATATAAAGTTCTATTATTTTATAGGGTTTGGCTCATCTCCATGGTAATCATGTTATACATCGTGATATTAAGTTATAAAGTTCTATGATTTTATAGGGTTTGGCTCATCTCCATGGTAATCGTGTTATACATCGTGATATTAAGATATAAAGTTCTATTATTTTATAGGGTTTGGCTCATCTCCATGGTAATCGTGTTATACATCGTGATATTAAGATATAAAGTTCTATTATTTTATAGGGTTTGGTTCATCTCCATGGTAATCGTGTTATACATCGTGATATTAAGATATAAAGTTCTATTATTTTATAGGGTTTGGCTCATCTCCATGGTAATCGTGTTATACATCGTGATATTAAGATATAAAGTTCTATTATTTTATAGGGTTTGGCTCATCTCCATGGTAATCGTGTTATACATCGTGATATTAAGATATAAAGTTCTATTATTTTATAGGGTTTGGCTCATCTCCATGGTAATCATGTTATACATCGTGATATTAAGATATAAAGTTCTATTATTTTATAGGGTTTGGCTCATCTCCATGGTAATCGTGTTATACATCGTGATATTAAGTTATAAAGTTCTATTATTTTATAGGGTTTGGCTCATCTCCATGGTAATCGTGTTATACATCATGATATTAAGATATTAAATTATGTTAATTTATAGGGTTTGGCTCATCTCCATGGTAATCGTGTTATACATCGTGATATTAAGATATAAAGTTCTATTATTTTATAGGGTTTGGCTCATCTCCATGGTAATCGTGTTATACATCGTGATATTAAGATATAAAGTTCTATTATTTTATAGGGTTTGGTTCATCTCCATGGTAATCATGTTATACATTGTGATATTAAGATATAAAGTTCTATTATTTTATAGGGTTTGGCTCATCTCCATGGTAATCGTGTTATACATCGTGATATTAAGGGTCAGAATGTTTTATTAACTGATAATGCTGAAGTTAAACTAGGTAAGTCCAGTCGAGTGCAGCTTGTTTACTGTTGCTCTTTAATCTTTTGTTAATAAACCCAGGCCTGGTGTGCTACAGGCTGTGCACGTTAAAGATCCCTAAACAGTTAGAAATCGAAAAGGAGTAGGCAAATGCTGCTGTCCCTCATTGCACCCTGCATGGAATTGCCCGTCTTCATTAGCCCACATGGTGCAGAAAAGAAAGACGTAAAACTCCTTTCATTTCATTTTTCATTTTAATGTTTTGTTCAAGTCTGTGTAGTAGGGTATTATAGGCAATAATGATGGGATCTAGTATTAAGAAGTTTAAGATTAATTATTTTACTGCTCTCTCTCGGATTTAAAAAGATATTTTTCCACTAATTTAAATACTTATTTGAATATTTAAGTTGATTTTGGTGTTAGTGCCCAGTTAGATAAAACAATAGGGAGAAGAAATACTTTTATTGGGACGCCATATTGGTAAGTTACTTTTGTAATATAGACATGATAATATCAGATAAAAATAAATTGTAGTTAATGAACTCAATTTTAAATGATGTGAAATAAAAAACTGAAGGGGGAAAATACTGGGATATTCATTCAGCATCAACAAGGTAAACAATAAAACCAATTCCGTACTGTGTAAACATTAATACTTGCCTCTAACATTGTGTTGTGGCAGTGGAATCGCCCAGTCGGTAGCACGTTGTCGTCTGCTAGGTGATAGG